TTTTTTTTTGGTGGAACCAGGGATTGAACTTAGGCCCTAGAGCTTGCCAGGGAAGTGCTTATTCTACTGAGCCATCTCCCCGGCCTGAAAAACATTTTCTTAATGAAAATTGATCAATGTTTGCATGAATTTGACTTAAATATCCTTTCTTAAATATGGGAAGAAAATTATTTTCATTAAAACTTATAGGTTAAAATGGCAATGGATACAGTGTTAGTACAAAAACACTGTGGATCCAAATATTCACTGGAAAATGATTCATTTATCTCTTAAAATATTTTTGAGGGGCCGGGGAGATGGCTCAGTTCAATCCCCAGTTCCGCAAAAAAAAAAAAAAAAAATTATTTTTGAAACAATTTCTAATAAAATTACTGGCAGAATTAAGAGTAATATTCTTTCAGTTCAAAAGCCAGGCATGGCTACACAGCACGTTCAAGCACAGCCTATACTACACACAGAGACCGTCTCAAAAAAAAAAAATTCTTTCAGTTCTCTGAAAGTGGTATTAGCCCTTGTTTCCTATTTGTACAACTTATTAAAAGTTGACATAGGACTAGGGAGATAGCTCAGCGGCTTAAGTGCCTAGCTGGAAAGCACAAGGTCATGAGTTAAATCCCCATTACCCAAAAAAACAAACAAACAAAAAAAAACTACATAATGTCTCAATCTATAAGAATACCCTAAGGGACTTATAAAAAATATTTTTAGACTCCATTCCCAGAGATTCCAATGAAAGATCTAGCTTTTATCTTTGTTTTTTTTCTGTATTTTAGGGCAGGGTCTACATGGTCTACAGGGTGTAGCGATCTGCCTGTGTTCAGTCTCCCAACAGCTGGGATTACAGGCGCACAGCACCACAACGCCATCTCAGTCGCCATCTCAGTGTGCCCTGGCAGCAGGACCTGAACGGCATGCCAGGGATCGAACCCCAGCCTCTGCACTCTGCCTAAGAAGGCACTTTAGTCTGCTGAGGTATCAGGCTGGCCCCTTATTTGTTTTTTTAAAAATGGCCTACTCAAGCTGGTCTTCTACTCACTCTATACCATAGGCTGGCCTCAAACTCATCACCATCCTCCTGCCTCCACTTCTGGAGTGCTATGATTATAGATGTGTGCTACCATGTCTGCATTTTTAAAACTACAACAAGGGGGTCCTGCCCCTTAGCTCAGTTCTTTAAGTGGCTGCTTCAACAAAGCAGTCAGACTCAGATTGCTGTGGTCCGATCCCCACAACTCAAGCCAGCGAAAACTGCCCTGAAGGCATTCGGAGCAAAATAAATAAATAAATAAATTAATTAATTAATTAAATAAAACTACAACGATTTCTTATGCAGCTAATTTGAGAATTATATTCTGGTCTGAAGATGACCAACTATTTGAATAAGGGAAAAAGGGAGAACAAGAAGACAGAGAAAGAAAGACACAAAAACTAATTACAAACCTTTATATGTTGGAGCAGGGGGTGCTGTTGCCACTTTCCTGACTTTTGCTGTCACTGAGCTATCAACATTAACAACCATTATTGGATGGTCAATATGACCCAAATTCTGGCCCCGGCTATTTATTTCTTCTGAGTGTTCCCATTGTTTTCTAATCCGCTCCTTAAGCTTTTCCAGTTTGACATCATGTTGCCGCCGTTTTAAAATATCTAATCTTTGGGAATTAGAAGTACTAGTAGAGGATGGAGAAGAATCAGTTAACTGTAACACTTTAAGATCAACAGGATGGTCAATGTTATTCACAGCAGGCTTTGAACTGTTCTCATTTCCTTTTGCTCTATTAGGCATTTCTCCATCCATTCTCATAGAAATTCCCGTCTTAATCAAACATTCTGAACTGTGCAATGCATCAATTGCTGGTCGATCATTTAAAAACCTAACAACTGTATCATTGATTATAGATGACTGGGAGCTCTCAAAATCACAGCAATGTATATCCTGTTGTTCTCGGTTCTGTACCATCCGGTTTCCACTCTCAGTTTTTTCTTCATTAACATCTACATAATATACATGCTTTGACTCCAGGTGGCTAGGACTTAAGTTAGAAGGTGCACTATGGATTTCCCTATAATACAAAAAAAAAAAAAAAGTTTTGTGA